AAATAAGTAATAAAATCGATTTTCATAAAAACACATCGCCCTAAACTGTAAATTCGAATTAATTGATAAAATCGATTTATCGTCCATCTCTACTGTTAAGTAATGTAATGCTCCATTAGTTCCATTACTGTGATGTTACCATTAACAATAACTTAACCTAGGGCTGCACGATATATCTTTTCAGCATCGTCATCACGATGTACGCACGTGCAATAGTCACATCACAGGATGTGCGATGTTAAGTAACGCAAATTAAATTAAGCAGTGTGGACAACGCTTTTGGTGTTTTTGCTGAACTAACAAATGTCACACTGTTCTTATTCTTAAACATTCCACAAAAGTCTGTCTAACATAATTTAAATCAATTTAAAGGTTTTTGGATACGGAGTCGACACGCAGCCTTGCATCGGCAGCTAACAAACATGTCGATCACAGAACGAACCACCAAGCACAAACATTCTACTGTTAGTAGTACTGATTAAGTTATCATTACCATTATATTTGGGCTAAATCAGGTGAATCTTTCTAGAATGATTAATTATGCCAATAGAGCAGCGGTCACTAACATGCGGACCGCGCCGGACCCGTACCCAGAAGCTGTCCCATACGGATCTGGACCGATAGCCAAAACAGAAAGTTATGATTTAAAACCTGATGGGGCCCTTCTATTTTAACCGCCACAGCTTTTGTAGTCTTTTCGGTAGTGGTTTAACACTAGAACTGCCACTTCCCACACCAATGCACGTCAAACGCCTTTAACTGCGAAGCGTAGTTCGGCGTATGCAGCCCTTTGTCTGCGCTAATGTGCCATTAGTGTTAATAACAGCAGCAAAGCGACCAAAAAGCCGTAATGTTCCTAACAGAGTGGCTGCTTAATAACAGCAGTGAAGCGAACACCCGCAACCAAAAATCCGTAATGTTCCTAAGAGAGTGGCTGGTCTGTCCTGAAATCATATAGCTGAAAAGTTTTCAAATACAGTATGTATTAGGGATGCAAATTATCGAGTAATTCATTAATCAATAGTTGTTTCATCTTATCGATCGATGATCGATTAATTGCTAAGCGGCAATTTTTCTGAGAAGCTGAATTTCCCTCTGAATAGGTTCCATCTACTGTATACGTAACATAGAATGCTATCTTCTATATGATATGAAGAAAAAATGCAAATCATATTCCTTAATCAAAGGTTTATTCTGAGCTCACTTGAGGGCAGGGAACAACATTTGTTGTCGTCATTGACCAACTTGAAGTGGCTCCATACTGCACTCCGTTTTGCCCTCTTCATCCTCTGTGTACCGTTTCTCTTTTATCTGTTGTTTTATCTGTTGTTTGCTTGTGTTCCCGCGTGTGCGTCAAGTACGTCTGGCGTGAAGTGCGCCCCACGAGGACTGGCAAGGAATTATGGGTTCAAAATACAATTAATTGCAATTAATTAATTTTAATCGAGTAATTTCTTATCGACAATTAATTGATAATCGATTAATTGCTTACATCCCTAGTATGTATTATATAACATGTTGGAAAAATAGACATAGTATATTGGTGATTTCATGTTCGTGGAAGTTTCCGCTTTTTAACATATGTATAAAGTAATATTATCTGTTATATAGATCAACTCAGGTGAAACAAAAATTGTACGTTTTCAGCATCTGGCACGCCACTCATGATTTCAGACTTGCGCAGGAAATCTTACGGCAAATCTATATTATTCCATTATAAACCTAAAATGAGCTACGCCAAAAGTGTGTTTACATGGTTAAATACAAAAGCATACTATTTACAAGGTAAGAACTGTTACATGTGTGTGCAGACATCTCGAATTGAATTGCACTGAATTAATTTGATTTGACAGTCAGGTACTGATTACATGCAATGTTGATACAACTGATATGCTACTTAAATATACATCAAACTAAATAGTTAGACATTATGATCTTCCGGACCTTTGCTTCAAGAAATTTTCTCTAACTGGACCTCTTTAAATTTTAGTTGAATACCCCTGCAATAGAGCTATTGAACTAATTAGAATTTTTAAAATCCCAATATCGCAATATATATCGCAGAAAGAATAAATATTGCAATGTGATTTATTCCCAATATTGTGCAGCCCTAACTTAACCGATCTGATTTCAAATGCAATAGTAGTGGAATGTGTACGTGGTAGCAAGTCAAGATGAAATATAAAAACATCATGTCAAGTGGTAGGGCTATGTATTTATATTTCTACTCATTATGAAAGATTTGTTGTGTCTAGCCTCCACTTAATAGTGTGTTTCTATGTTTTATAGCTAATAAGAAAAAGGTGTCTGTTCATATGACGTTTATTAGAAGGTGAGCCATTGTTTAACAAACAAATTATTTACAACAGGACAAAACAGAAGCATATGTGTAGTGAGAAAACGACTAGGAATCTGTCACCGTGGTTAAGTTAGCCTCATATTCCATATTCAGTTTTCTGGCTTTAATAACTATTAATGGAAGGTGGGGCGTTGACATAATTGTGATGTCCAGTACACAGACATCGATGCACACCGATTATTTTTGCGCTTCAAACCATTTGGTGATTTTTGCCAAATCATGTTAATATCCAATATAATAGGTCCTTACAGCTGTAATGACATGGTGGTTTGGCATTTGGGGCTCATGGCCACTTTTGCACACCCCTTTGTTTCCCAGATTGCTTTCCGTACGAATTTTTATTAATTTTTGAATGTTCGAATGTATCCGTATAATGTGCAATGGGACAATACATGGATGGGTTAACGACTTTAAAGCTAGACAAGACAGGCATATCTAGTGAAGTGTGCTTTGATCAGTGGACAACGGGGAACAATGCACAACTCTCGGGTTTTCAGAATAACTTTCTCTCTAACAGTTATTAATTAATACATTGTATGCATATTATATGCCATTGCTCCATTTCATACATATTGACAGAGAGAGCCCCTCATGATTCGCGCGCCAGTGTAGTATGGATCATCCAGGTACGCCGGCATTGTCTTTGGAGAAATTGTAGTTGGAGGGGCGGTGCTCATATAGGGCTGGCTTATGCAGAAACCTCGACTCAACCAAGAACAAAAACCACTGCACTAGATATTTGTGAATGTTTGTATCACAGTTTCGGTCTCAATTTCAGAACCATTATATAATGCTGCACGTTATGTGTTCTGTGTCAGAATTTATGTTAGTATTTCGTACTTATTATGTTGTTACATGATACTAAAAATTGTCAAATATCATGTGATTTTTTTGCCATAAATGCTGCAATATTTATAAAGCAAAGTTTGAAAATGACTGTGATTGGCTTGGAGAGAGCATGCAGAGCTCATTCAACAGTAGTGGTGGTAAACTTACATTTGTAAAACATATATTAGATAATCTTGAAAAGAAACAAACATTAAAACTGAAAAGCCAAGTTTTTTTTTCTATGACAGACTCAAAATATTTTTAAAACTTAAACCTCCCACACACTCAGCAAATTTTATCACTGAGATTTCTAAAAACTGGATATGTACAGAAAAATAATGTTAGTGAAAAAACCTTATACTGTGGTATGTCTGTACAGTATGAAGGTATGCAAAAGCCTGATCTGAACCCAGCTGTCACAGTCCTTGCAATTTGAGAATTGCAAGTGTATAACTAGCGATGTCTATATTAATATCATACAATGCCCAGCCCTACTGTACACAGAAGCACACAATAATGTTTAGAATAATTTCTCTTGCTTCTGAAAATATTCCATTTTGAAAATCTCTGGCTATTCATTAATGCAGACTGTACTGTGTATAAACACATAGTCCTTTGACAAAAGTTGACCATACTGCCCCCAAGATTTTTGGTGGCACTGCATCTCACGTACCCTTAGTATTAATTCCACACAAATGACACGTATAATGAACACAGGATATGCGTGGCAGTGTTGCGAACGTCGAGTATAAATGCAACTTATTGGCACGTTTCAGTTCTGCTAATAATTCTGGTTTACAATGCAAACATACACAGACTCCCAATCCTGGAGGTATGAGGAAACGACCCATTGACCCAGCAAAACTCCAAGTTGTGTTAATATATTTGAGAGTTGTACATTGTATATTCTGTGTAACACGGAGACAACAATTTAGTAACAAACATTTTAACTGCAGTTTTGGGGGGATAAACTATTATGTCAAGATGTGTCATCAAAGTCATTGTTATATTGCAATATGCCACCTCAACTACTTAAAATTACTCCTTTGTTCTTCGGGAAAGTAACTTTTTAAAAGTATGTTTTTTTTTGTTTTTTTTAAGAAATACACAGCTTAACAGCCGATACATTATTTGCGAGGAGGGGGGGGGTAGTTTTGTACTCTTCCATAAGACATGCCTTTAAGGAAGACATTCTTGGCTCTCTCCAGAGAAAGCCCTCCATATTTCAAAGCTTTGGAATGGCTTCCGTAACCCCACCGCGACCGTATGCAATACATCTGCACAGTTATTAAACTAATAAAAAATGATCACAATAACACTAAGTCCATCAAATTCGGTTTTGAATCGCGCAGTGTTTTTAGTGAAGACTTGCCTATCTATTCGACAATGAATTAATACCATGAATATTTCATATATTAAACAGTCCATTAAATTAGAACTTCAATATATCGTGTATGTTTATCATAGGATGAACTGAGACAAGCTAGGGTGATTTCGGTGTTGAGGATTAAAAACCCACTACCTCACACACCTAACGAAGACGGAAGTAGAAGAGCAGCTAACCAGTTAGCCAGCTAGCTGTCGTTACTTCGACAAGAAATAAACAAATAGGAAACTTGCTACGTGACACTAGTTATTTTGCTTGGATTTTGCCATATTTATGCATATAACAAAAATGGTACTACCTTGTAGCAAACCTTCCGCTGAGGCTATCCAGCTAACTTAAATACAACACAAAAGATTTCATTAACTAAGCATTTGTAAAATGTTGCACATCACCTAGTCAGAATGAAGACGTTAAACGACAACTTACCCCTAAATCCATTCAGCGACAGTGCTATATGATTCTCTCAATCATCCCGTTGAAATATGTCTCAGCTAGAATATTTCTTTCTTTTTCTTCTTTTCTGCCATTGAGTCCGGCTCTTTGTGGCCGCCGCCTGCCGTGGTCGCTGATTCGCAGGAATCACTAATAGGACGTGACTGGTGCGTGTTCCCACCATGCAGTGCGAGAAGCGCAGAGGAGCGCTGCTCTTCGTAATACTTCATAGTATGCTGAATATATGGTTTAACAATAAAGCGATACAGGAAAACAAAGCTTAAATTTGCCCTGAAAGCAGACACATTTAAATCTAAATTAAAAATGTTTAGACTCATCCATGTCTGATTAATTTCCGCACTGCATTTAACATTTTTTTCTTTTTTTCTGTAAAACACTCTGAATTGCCTCTGTGTTTGAAATGTGGTATATAAATTCGTTGAGCTGCAAACATTATTCTGTGTTCCCTAACTCGGGTGTTCATATGTATATACATGTGATGCAATTTCATTTGAGGTGTAGCCTACTTAACAGTGAATGCCTTTGATTCTTTTCAGATGGCCAAATAGATCGTACTTCAGGTAACCTACGTGGAACAGATCTATGTTTACTAGTCAGTCGAGTATATAGCAGGCAACAGGTGCATTGGAATGCTTGCTTATTGAGTCACACTACAGAGACTAAAGATGCAAAACAATACAATGCAGTGTAAAATAGTACGGATGCAAAACTATATGTTCAGCACCATCCTCCTTCGGGCCCATCACGCTGGCAAATTTTGTTAAGTGAATTGACTCGTAGTTGACAGTGTTGGGGGGTGGATAATGCATTGATGAGGGCCGAATTAAAACATGCATAAGAAAGGTCTAAGCCATCAGGTGAGAGGAAAAAAAGGAAAAAAGAAGAGGAGAAACTCACAAAAGATAGTGGTATACAGCTATTCCACCTCCTAATGTGTATAATATTATACATGTAATGAAATAGGCTAGTACAGTGATACCTCAGAACTCGAACTTAATCCATTCAGAACTCGGGTTCGAATCCTAAAAAGTTTGAGTTCTGATCTAATTTTCCCCATAAGAAATAATGGAAAACCAATTAATTGGTTCCTGGCCCCAAAAAATTATACGTGCGTAACATTTTTTTCTTAATGGCTTCCAAAACGATAAAGAATGTACCCCAACACTACCCCAAGCCATGCCCCAACACTGCGCCAACACTAGACTATGCCATGCAGTCCATTGTTTATTGTTATTATTACTCTGTATTCGTTAATTTGTTCATAAATCGCAAACTTTTAGGTTGTAACATTTGTACAACTATTGCGTAACTTTTTGGTGAGCAATGGCTACCAAAATGATATAAAGTGCAGTGTATTACCTGATATTTTCAATTAAAAAAAGCACTATCACCAACAAACGATGTTGTCACAGCGAATGCGAGGCTGAGACTGAAGCGTTACCCTTTGTTTCCTCTGAGAGATGTGCCAAGTGACTCATTTCCCTGCACGTACAAGTTATCTTAGGTCGGCATTCATGGTTTAACCTCTGAGATTCAGATTGAGTTCTAGGTCTTTTTTTTTAACTGGTTGGTCCGACTTTTAAGAAATTTGAGTTCTAATGAGTTTGAGTACTGAGGTACCACTGTATAACACTTATATTTGTTAGCCAATAAGGTATTAATGTAATAATTCAATTTTTTTTTTTTTATATAATATGATTTGTTTCTTTTTGTCTTTGTTACTTCTTCTTGAGATTCATGAATCTTAATTATTTTGTATATACTGTATATCATTGAGAGAGAGTAAAAACATGAGCCATCTTGGGGTCCTTGAGGACTGCTATGAGAAACACTAGTATATATTGTAGTGCCAGCATAGCGGAGCCCATTAACATCTCCTGGCATGCCCCACGCTATCTGTAAATAGCCCTTGTTTGTGTTATTGTAGATACTTCTTGTACTCCTGATTGTCATGTGTGCCTTTGCCTGTGTGATGTGTAAATCCTGTCCAATCCTTGCATATATCTACCCATTGTGTAACGACCTACTGTGTGCGTTCCCTACCATACAGCATCAGACCTCCCTGCATTGGTGCATTATGTGCCGTGGTGGGTTGACATAGTATATTGAAGGACTAAGATTAAAACATATGTTCTTTTTAAAGCTTTTATGTGTTTTTTTGTTGGTTTGTACTGCTGTGATGCCTGGGTTTCCCATGCACCACAATATTTTTGTATTAATTTAATTTAAAATATTATTGATATTTATTTGTATTGTTCTAAATGTCTTACTAAAAGTGAGCTAGTGCCTAATGGTTTTTTTTTTTTTGCCAGGAGGGTGGGAGATGGACACAAAGCTTTTGTTGGCAGGGGCTGAATCAGGGGGGTTCGCCCAGGATGCGACACAAGCTGCAATACAACAAAAGCCTGTCGTAGTGGGAAAGCACATCTGTAGTTTCCTTTGCTGTCAAGGTTTTCAGCCTCATCGTGTCCCGCAAATGCCAGCTTCTGACAACCCAAGAATTAAATCAGATTAATCAGCCTTTTCAAAATCTCATAGTTTTTCCTGACCATGTCATTGTGTCTGGTTAACTTTGAAGAAATAAAGGACACTACTCCCTCCTTTCTGAGTCCATGAGGATAAAATTTGCTGGGGAGCCGACCGTGCCACCCAAAACTACAAGGTAAATCCACACCCCAAATTGGTTAAAAAGTACACTATTAGTTAAAAAGTACACTTCACTGTCAGGAAAAAAACTGTCCAAATACTTATGGACCTAACCGTATATATACACTCACTGGTCATTTTACTAGGTACTGTTTAACTGCTCATTGAAGCAAACATCTAATCAGCCATTCATATGTCAGCAACACAATGTGTAAAATCTTGATGCAGAAACAGGACAGGTGCTTCAGTTAATGTCTACGTCAAACACCAGAATGGGGAAGAAGGGTGATCTACTGTAAGTGACTTTGAACATGGTATGGTTGTTGGCTGGTATGTGTGTTTTGTAAACTGCTGATATACTGTGATGCAAAACCATCACTAGGGTCTATAGAGAATGGGGCAAAAAAGACAAAGCATATTGTTAGTGGCTGCTCTCTGGGTGAAAATGCTTGTTTTTATTGCTCAAGTCAGAACAATGGTCAGACTGGTTCAAGCTGAAAGAAAGGCAACAGCAACTCAAATAACCGCTTGTTACAACCAGGTTATGCAGAGGAGCATCTACAGTATGAACACACAGCGTGTCAAAGCTTGAAGCAAATGGTCTACCGCTGCAGAAAATCACACCTGGTGCCACTCTTGTCACCTAAAAACTGCAAGCGAGCAGGGAGGCTATCAACAAAAAAACAATATAGATTATACTATACAATATTCAGAAAATCTCACGCCACACAGTTTGAGAATCACTGACTAAAATAACGTTGCTGTGAAGCAAAGAGATCCATGGAATATAATTAGCTGCCAGATGGCTGTGTTCACAAAATGGTGGCCGCAGCCTCTATTTTCACTCTGTTTTCCATTTTCACTTCCCTCTATCCTCTTGTTATAATTTTGGGTTGATTTGGGATCTTCACAACTATGGTCAAGCACTCTGAGTTAAAAGAAGATTGGGAGTGAAACCCATTCTCTTGTATTGCATTAATTTGGGGTCGATCATGGGGAGGATTTTCATCCATATAATGTTTTTGTGAAGTGGCAATAAGATCCATCAAATTTAAAAATAGAGTAAATAGAGTAAAAATACCAAATGGAGTTATTCTGTTCATAAGGATAAGCTTGTAAACATCTCACCCTTCTTTTTGCTGTTGCTAAGTGCCCTTGCTTCAATTTTGGTGCAACTTCTCAAAATTTGACCAGGTCCAGATTTTCACTTTTACATGTCTGCAAAGGTTGGAAAAGATTGGACTAATAATTTTTGAGTTATTGGGGAAAACAAGTGGTCTGATCTCCATGCATCTGTGCCTCACATGATGTGTGAAAGGGAACTCAGCACCTCCTGCAGTAAAGGCAGCTCAGCCTCCCTTAGGCAAGGAGTGGGTCGTCTAGCCTCGTCCTCTAGATAGGGAACCACCCAGTCCCAGTGCAGCACCATTTCATGTGTTTTCAGTTGTATTCCATACATGTGTAGGAATTATTAGCTCAGGTAATTTTTAATATCTCCACCAATATGTTTGAAATTAATTAAAGTTTCATTAATTATTATTTAATGCTGATTATTAACCAATCGTTATGCCGAATGGTCGGCTCCTCCAAACTCAATTGCGGTATCCCTGTGAGTCTGTTAATGTGAGACTTAAATGGGATTCACTAATTACCAGTATCGCTTAGCAAACTGGGTTGGAAGGCTCGTCCAGCGAGCTGCATCACCAGGTAATGCAAACAATTGGTAGCGAAGCTCCCCTCACGGCCGATGAGAGAGAGTCTCGGAAGGGGGTCTGTATCAG